CATGTGGTGCTGGGGATCGAACCGCGGTCCCTGTGCTTTGCCAAGCTTGTTTCAAGTAGGTGCTTTAGACCACTGAGCCATCTCTCCAGCCCTTGTCTTTGTTTTTTAAGACATAGTCTCACTACATAGTTCAGGCTGACCTTTAACTCACTATGTAGTGCGGGCTGGCCTTAAACTTGTGGAGCTCCTTCTGCTTCAGCCTTCCAAGTGCTGGGATTACAGGTGTACGCCACTACATCTGATTAACCATCTTTTTTTTTTTTTTTTTTTTTTTTTGTCTTTTTGAGACAGAGTCTAGCTATGCAGTTCAGGCTGGCTTGAGCTTACTTCATAATTCAGTCTGATCTCAAACTCATAACAGTCCTCCTGCCTCAGTCTCCCCAGTGCTGAGATTACAGGCGATTGTCACCACAACTGGCCTTCTGCTCCTGCCCCCCAGCCACATTTTATTTATATCTTACATGTGCCTCCCCATCTGACTGATCTTGAAGTGCCCTTTATCAAGTTTTCTCCATTTGTGACTGATGTTTAAATGCTGTTTATGGTTGTTTTTTCCCCCTCACTATAGAAGCTTTAAATTTTTAATTTAAACAGATATTTATTTATCTTGATGAGTTTTGGTTTTCATGGTATGCTTAATGCAAAAATCTCTACCCTAAATGTGAAATCTACATTTTCTTCTAGTACTTCAATGACTTTCTTTCTTTTAGTGCTGGGAACAGAACCCAGGTCCTCATACATGCTAGTCAAGTCCATTATCACTGAGCCACACTCCCATGGCTTTATTTATTCATTATTTGCCAGCAGTGCTGATGTTGGGGCATTCACACTCCTTAATTTAAAAAAAAAAGAAAGAAGAAAAAGTTTCATTCAGATAGACCTGGAACCAATCCCAGCTCCAACTTCTTATCTTATGACTTTGGAAAAGTTACTTCAAGTCTCAGGTTTTTTATACTTGAAAAGTGAGCATGAGCATGCCACAGAGATGGCTCAGTAGAATAAGTGCTTGGCTGGCAAGTGCAAGGGCGCGAGTTCAATCCCCCGTTCCACCAAAGGAAAAAAAAATGAGGATGGTGGATATCTCCCAGGGTGGTTATGGGGATTAAATGATACAAATGATGTAAAGCATCTAGTAAATATTTAGTGCTCAATGAAGTATAATTATTGGCATTACCCTGTGCTCCTATTTGTAGATTCAGTGTCCTGAACATGGTACTTTCTACCCTTCCATTTGTTCATGGTTTCATTCCATAAACTCCACTATGTGCCTGCTTTGCGTTTACCTCAGTAGTAAAGGCTGGTTATACAAAGTTGAATTAGTCGCATTCTTGGCCACCAAGAGTTTACTTACAGTCAACAAGGAATGGGAGATACAAACAGATGAATAATTATCAAATAACGCAAACAGTGGACAAAGGTAGCAAAGGGTGTGTATTATTTAGCAATTTTTTTTTCTTTTTTTTGGGCAGAACCGAGGATTGAACTCAGGCCCTTTGTGCTTGCCAGGCGAGCGCTTTTTCTACTGAGCCATTTCCCTGGCTAAAGTTTTAGCACTTTTTTTCTTTTTAAAGGGTATGTATTATTGAGAGTGCCTAGGAAAGGCCTCCCAGAGGAGGTGGTGTCCAAGAAGGGGCTATGTTGAGAGCCAGAAGGGAGAGAACAGAAGGCAAGGACCAGGCAAGTAAAACAGCCTCAGTGGAATGAGCTCTTGTGGGTCAAACTGGGAAACCTAATTTACCTTGCAGAACGAATGGTAAAGAGTATTTGAAGGGCGGTTGAGACAGGAAGACTGGCAAGTTTAAACTCAGTCTGGGCAACCTAGCAATTTAGCAAGACCTTGTCTCAAAATGGAAAAACAAAAGAGACTGGAGATGTAGCTCAGCGGGAAGACCTTGGATTTTAGCAGAGGGCTGACAAGGTCAGATTTACGTTTCCCATAGCTCCTTTGGGCTGGGGTAAGGGACAGCTGAAAGAGTGAGACTGGGGGTTGGATGAGGTCCTGAGGACTGAAATGGTGTGACTGGATAAACATTTGAGATGGGGTTGTATTGGTGCGGTGGGGGCGGGGTGGAGAGGAAGAGCAGCAGGTGCCTAATATTCATCAAAAGGCTGGCTCTCGACATCTACCTTCAGTAGATAATGGTGCTATTATCTAAAGGAGATTTGGAGGAAGACTTTTGAGCTGAAACAAAACAAAACACCCCCGCAAGTTTAGAGATGTGTTTGAAGTTGGAAGACAGTTCTCAGGCTGGTGGCTCAAGAAAAGGAGGGGGTGTGAAGGACTGGAGATTTGTCAGGTGTCAGCTGAAACCTTGAGTGGGTGCGGTTCTGCCGGGTGGGTGACCGCAAAGGTAAAAGGGAAACAGTCTGGGTGAGGCCAGCAGCGGGTTCATGGCAGCAGGGGGCGCACTCGGGCTGGGGGAAGTGGACCGGGAGGCTGCAGGCGCTCTATCTGCCCTGGAGTGTTCTGCCAGCTCCAGAAGTACATGAATCTGGAGACACCCAGGGTTTTCTGAGGGCAGGTTAGCACCTCTAATTGGGGAGACGCAGCGGGGCAGCCAAACCTTCAAAACCCGGGGTCCGTGGCTCTGCGCCCGCAGTTCCTCGGGGCAGATCCAGTATGCTGCTCACAAAGGGATGCTGGAGCTCAATCGACCCCTCAGACAGGCTAGGAGCGCAGGGTGTACCAGGAAAAGGGGGGAAAGTTATCCCGGAGGGAACGAGGACCGCAGCAACAGGGATGAGGGACCCAGAGACTGGACACCGTCCTAATACGAAACAGGCAAGCCCCAAGCTCCCGCTTACCGATCCTCTAGGGGCACCTATCAGGAACCAGGCAGTCAGCACCGAGGAGAGGGAAAGGGGCAGGTGAATCAGGAGACGAGAAGGCGCGCACCACGCCTGGACTAGTGTCCGGGAATCCGAGAGCCGCTGACTGCCTGAGTAGGCGCCAGCGAGGACAAGAGAAACGAATTACAACACAAAGCCCGAGGAAGGGGCAGCAATGTGTGGGAAGGGGGAATCGGGGGAGGTCGGGAGTGGCAGGGTTCATGAGAAGCCTGAGCAGCCGAGCGTGGTACCCGGGGCGCTGGGTTGGGGGGCGGGGACTACATAGCAGGCCCGAGAGCGGAGTGCAGATCTTGGGTAGGTGCTGAGGCGCACGGCCACGAAGCTGGGCAAGTCCGGGGTAGGGGTTGGGGGACACGCAACCCATCCATCAGGCCCCGAACCAGCCTAGAATCAGGGCTCTGGGCAGGGCTCTGGTGAGGCAGTGGGGCAACGGTTCCCAGCGCGACAGTGATACCAGTTTAAGGCTACAGAGGCAAGGCCCACAGCTGCCCCCAGCACCCCCCCCCCCATCTCTTGTTTGTCTCCAAGTCCGGCCGGAACCGGCTTCTGCTCGTCGGGGGGCGGGTGGGTAGCTGTTGATTGGTCAAAACCTGTTTCCAGCCCCACTCAGCCAATCAGCGGGCGGCAGTGTTTTCATCTTAAGGGCGGAATAAAAGGGCTGGAATAAAAGGAGACAGAAAAAGCGCCGGGCGGGCCCGATACACACTAGCAAGAGCCGGGTAAGCTAGATCCCGGGGATGGGGTGGGCCTACGCTAGGGTGCAGAAGCCGCTTGAGATGAGATTCAGAGAGATGTGTAAATATGAAAAGAAAGTGACGGGCGGTTGAGGAGTCGCTAGAGATGACGAATAGAGCGAGGAGCTAGGGGATGGAGGAACAGGAGGCTGCTTCTGTGGGAACATGCTAATTGCCGAGGCAACAACCCAGAAAGGGGGTCTTGAGGCTGGCTCGCGCCGCCGGTTTGAACCGGCTTCGCCTCTCCCACGCGGGGTTCGCGTGGCCGCAGCGCCTAGCGACCTAGACAATGGCCAATGGCGCGGCAGTTCCTTTACAGTCAGGCCAATCAGCGCGCCATGGGCGGGCCGTTCCGGGGTTCGGTGCGCTGATCTTGTGGTTGAAGAAGACAGCTCTGGGGAAGGGTCTTGAGTGCGGGCGGGAGGAAGTTTGTCAGGGTCCCTCGGAGTGACAGCTCTCAGGTGTGCTTCTGTCCAGGGGGCCATGCCTCCAGCTGACTCTCCTCACGGCTCTCAAGTTAGCTATGTCAGTTTTGCTGGGCGCCAGGACTAGTTCTAGGTCCTTGAAAATGCATCGTCCTTTCTTTCTTCCATGCCTCAGTTTACTTTGGAATGAGCTGCGGGAGAAGTCTCTGGCCAGAACAGCTCCAGCATAGCGAACGGCAGCAGCGCCAGGCAGCTGCGCAGCTCGGGGTGATCCAGCTCCCCGGCAGGGCTGGGTCTTGCTTCCATAGCTACGCAAACCTACCTTCTGGGCCACAGAAGGGTGACGGGCTCTGCACCCTGCGGCAGCTGCCGGGGGCTGCCGCACGGGGTTGAGCAGAGCCTGCACTGACGCCAAGATCTGTGCGCAGGTGGCTGCAGAGCCGGAGCGGAGCCGGAGCGGGGCCGCTGTGCCGCGCCACGCCGTGCCGCACCATGGCGCCCACCCTGGCCACTGCCCATCGGCGCCGCTGGTGGATGGCCTGCACAGCCGTACTGGAAAACCTCCTCTTCTCTGCAGTTCTCCTGGGCTGGGGCTCGCTGCTCATCATGCTCAAGTCAGAGGGCTTTTACTCCTACCTGTGTACAGAGCCAGGTGAGATGGGTACCTGGGCTGGGGCTCATTCCTGGAGTCCATGCTTTGAGAGAGGTGGATTGCAGTAAAGCCTTAGCCAGCAGCTCCCTTTCACTGCATGGCATCTGCCCTGCAGCAGAAGGCCCCTTTGATCCTCACACAGGTATGCTGAGTCCAGTTCATTATCATTGCCCCTGTTTCATGGATGAAGAAACCGCAGCTCAGGCCAGTCTCCTGCTTTGCCCGACATGGGGACAACGATAGACCCAGAGGTTCTGTTTCCACCAACAGCAACATTGCTGGCCTCTTGTCCTCCTAGTGCCTGAACATCCTTTGGCTTGCAGTAAACATGTTGCTGCCTGGCTGTGAGAAAGAGGAACTCCTGATTTAGGGGCTGGTGTGCAGCAAGAGAGAGGAAGTGGCTTTGCCTCTACCCGGAGGTTTCATCTAGAGTAGATGTTTTTCAGTCAGGCCATTATGGAGTCTCATGAGGGCTTGCCAGATACAATTTTTCTTTCTTTTTTTCTTTCTTTCTTTCTTTCTTTCTTTTTTTTTCAGCTTTATGATTCTTCAAAGGCTATTTCCTCTCACTGGCCATGAGAACATCTCCGTGGCCTTCCAACTCCATGGGCAGGAATAGGAAAGGGGATATTTTATGGAAATGGTGCAAAGCTTGCTCCTTTCTCTCTGCCCCACCATTGGTGTAGTTGAAGGCAGTCTGTGGATGCTGTCTATGTGAAATCTGCACCCTGACCCTGACCCTGACCCTGACCCTGTTCGTCACACCTTGCCACCCTAGCTACTGCACGTCAGTGGGTTCAGCCCCATAGGAGGGCCAGAGCAGCTCCCAATTGCCACCCTCCTTAGGCAGCCTGGATAGGAACATGTCCCCCGTATTCTCCGTCTCCAACAGTAGCGGCAGAAGAGTTGAACTCCTATAATGTCTCTCCCAGTGCTTGAGTCTCTTAGATGGAGATAGCCCAGAGTTGACTTCTGGGTCACCACCAGCATGCCTTTTCTTTCTAGAGTTCTTACTTAGCAGGAAGAGAACACTTTGGACCAGCCTGCACTGTCTGTAACCCTGAGTCAAACACTCCCTGTTTACCCTCTTTGGTCTGCCAAGAAGATTCCTGAGTGTCCAAGTGTCTAGGAAGAGAGCAGGCAAGGTTATGGGCAAGGAGAAAGGGAGGGAATGCAGAGGCCACCTGGGAGAGAGCAGAAAGTATATCATTTATAAGCAACCTTTAGCCTTTAGCCACTCAAAAATATTTCCTAAGAGCCTAAAGGTTCTTGGCAGGCCTTTCCCCACATCAGCAAGAACTCTTGGGAGATGGGAGAGTCAGACCTTGTTCCCTGAGCAAGCTTTCTGTTTTGCTCAAGAGATGTTAGGAGATTAATGACTCTTCTGGAAGGAACAGGTTAGAGTGTTTAGCTCTTTCTTTTTCAGGATACACAGAAGATTTGAAAAACAAAGAAAAAAATCCACTCCAAAAAAACCTATTAGGCCAGGCATGGTAGTGTACACCTATAATCTCAGCACTTGGGAGGCTGAGACAGGAGGATCACTGTGAGTTGTAGGCCAGCCTGAGCTACTAGTGAGTTCAAGGTCAGACTGAACTACTGGAGACCCTGTCTCCAAAAAACAAAGCAAACAAACAAAGCTTTTAGTACTGTGTCTCATCAAGACCAGAGGACTGTTGCAGTTAGATTTCTCTCTGTCTGTCTCTCTCTCTCTCTCTCTCTCTCTCTCTCTCGCTCTCTTTCTCTCTCTCATACACACACATACACACACACACACACACACACACACACTCTACGGTGTCAGGAAAGTCAAGACTAGTTCTTGGGTTTTTTTTTTTTTTTTTTTTTTTTTTGGTCTACTAATTTAATTTATTGTATGACATACAATTTATTGTATGATATCAGCAGTGTGAGGTTGGTCACTTCACTCCCTGCTGCAACCTTGGCTTCTTCCTTTCAGTGGGAGGAGCCCCAGAGATTGTGCCAACATAGTGCTGAGTTGGTATTTAAGTCCTTGAGAGACTTCACAGGTCACTCCTACAAACCAAAGTGAAGGTTAAGGGTCAGGATGGTGGATTGAACATCAACCTCTTATCCTGCTCTGTCTTTGCTCTTCCATCTGATTTTGGGTTTTCTGATTACGAGGCAAACCCGCTGACCCAGCATCTGTGGCGGGAAAGCCTGCTGATTGCACACAGCTTATCTATCTGGCCTCCCTGCTCCTTGCTTCTTGGAGTCTGTGTAACCTGTTGTCTTTCAGAGGTAGAAACCCCTGGGTTTCTCTTGGCTGGGAAGGCTTGGCAGAATTAGAAACAAGGTTTCCAGTTAGGCCTGCCATTTCCCAACTTGGTGAATAGCTGAATTGAAAAGGACTGGTTAGGGCCGGGGAGATGGCTCAGTGGAATAAGCACTTCCCTGGCAAGTGCAGGGGCCTGAGTTCAATCCCTGGTTCCACAAAAAAAAAAAAAAAAAAAAAAAACAGCTTGTTTCTCTGTTGGCCCTTGACTTTTTTAGCTTTGCCATCACATGGTCAGGAGAGGTGACAAGACTGGGTTGAAGCCGGGGAGATGGCTCAGTAGAATAAGCGCTTGCCTGACATGCGCAAGGGTCTGAGTTCAACCCCTGGTTCCGCAAAAAAAAAAAAAATTAACTCAATTAAAAAAGACTGGGTTGAACAGTTAATGAGCTTCTCATTAGAGCCATGAGATGTTGGCAGCTGGGTCCTTCCTTAGCTCCCCTAAAATGGCTAAGACAGCAGTCGGATTTCCAGGCTGGAAAGAACAGAGCTTTCCCAGGGCTTTAGCCTTTTAGCCTCTAGATGGTCACTGTGGCCACCTATGTTCAACTTTCTTCATGTTCTCTATAACTCAGTGGGCCATCTAGCCAGAGCCAACTGTGTATGGTTTACCAGGCGGGGTCCATTCTGTCTTTCATCTCACCCACACATTCAGTTAACATTCACTGAGGTGCGGTACCAGGGGTGTTAAGCCAGCAAGTCAACACACAGAGTCTCTGGAACGCACAAGCCTGCAGCATGGGGCTAGGGAAAGAGTCAGGAGAGGGCATGACCACCCTGGAGGAGAGGGGAGAAGGGCTGGTCCCACAGATGGCTGTGGCCATGAGAGGGGCCCGAGGGTGCAAGGCTCAGGAACCCCCTTGAGGAGACTGGATTTTCTTCCCAAGGCAGGAAGATACCGTGGAAGGAAAGGAGAGCCATGACCTAGTTCACCTCCTGGAGGCTCTTAGGAATCATGCGGGCGTACCACATGCTGGGTCGCTGGGGTTGCGTGGGATGAAGGATTTGAAGGTAAAAATCTTCACGACCGTTGCTAGAAGAAGTCGTAGCTTAGCCATGAGCATGATGGCAGACCCCAGTCTGTGTTCTTGACCGCGGCAGTCCCTCTGCCTATGGTGGCAGAGAGGATTCCTCTCTCCCTGATAGCAGGAGGCTGCCCCTGGGACCCTGAAAGCACAGAGGTGCTGCCACCCTTCAGGGAAGCAAGGCCACCTGCAGTCCCTGCCAGGCCAAGACAGGCTGTATCTGTGGACGTGGGCATCCTAGCTGCTTTAGGGTCTCCCTTTTCACGGGTGCTTTCCACACCCACGGGCTGCTGGTTGTCGATTTTAAAAAATTCAACCTTTTATTGTTATGAATATGCCCATTTTTACTTCTCTTTAAAAATTTTTAAAAGGGCTGGCCAGATAGCTCAATGAATTAAAGCACCTGCTTAGGCAGATGCAGGGGCTGGGGGTTCAATGCCCAGTGTGCCATGCCAGCCCCGCCCCACCCCTGGGGCATGCTGAGAGGATGATTGAGACTGGGCAAGGTGGCATGAGCCTATAATCCCAGCACTTGAGAGGCTGAAAACAGGAAGATCACTACAAGTCTTATATGTATAGTGAGTATTAAATATATTTTTTTTTTAAAAAAAAAAGGCTTTATTTGGTACAAGATCTTGCTTTGAAGAGAGAATTCATGATCCTCCTGTCTCAGCCTCCCTAGCACTGGGATTACAGGCGTGCACCACAGGCCTGGTTTTGGTGGCCATTTTAGTGCAGGTACCAGGGATCTGCATGCGGTACCAGGGATCAAACGTGGGTCCTTGTGTTTACCAGGCAGGTGCTTAGACTACCAAGCTATCTCCCTGGCCCTTTTCATTCTTTTTACACTGTATTTTTATGCTGCTAGAGTTTGAACTCAGAGCCTTTCACATATCAGGCGAGCATGCTATCACTGAACTATAGCCTCAGCCCACCTCCAGCTTATTTTGAATTTTAAAAATTCCATAGGAAAGCCGGGCATGGTGGTGAATGCCTGCAATCCTAGCACTCAAGAAGACTGAGGAAGCAGGATCATTAGGAGCTCAAGACCACACTAGGCTATCTGGTTCAAGGCCACCCTGAACTACATAAGGTGACCCTATCTCAAAAATAAAATAAAACTCCCATAGGAACAAGTAAGATGGCTAAAGGCATGGCCTCAGGATGTGTCACAGAGAACAGCTAGAGCCCTTGGCTGTCCACAGTCCTGCCTAACTTCTCTCCCCCACATCATTGGCCTCCTCTGGCTTCTTGCTGTCTCATGAAGCTTTTATCTGACCTAGGCTGGCTCTTAGGGCCTCTGTGGAAGCGTTGGGAAGCAGCCCCTTCTCACTGGCCAGTGTTGCCCCAACACTGTCCCAGCTGCATTCTTTTAGCATTTTCTCTGAGACACAGCCTGCCTCTAAGCCAGGAGGGCGGCACCAGTATAGCCCAAAGGTTACCAGTAGCTGCTTTGGGCTCTAACAGCCTGATTTCAAATCCAGCTCCCTATGAAACCTTTGACTTGACAGTGACTTAACCTGCTCTGAAGTTTCCTGTATTGTGGGAAATATGAGGCCTGGGTGGAAGGGAGGCCGATCCCATGGAACACAGTGGCCAGCACACACAGGCACACCCCAGAAGGTGGCTGCTGCTGCTGCTGGGACCACAAGTGAGGGGCTCTGCCCTTCAGCCCCATGCGCCCTGCGTCTTGTTTGCTCTGAGGCTGAGCCGACCTCTCACCCACATCTCCCCCGCTGGACTGGGATGCTGCTTCCTGTTGCCGGATAACCTCAGGAATAGGGAGAGGAGATCCCAGGGCAGGTACCTGCCGCAGCAGGGCCAGGCAGAGGTCTGTGCCCTGATGGGAAGTGGGAACAAAGAGGGGGGTAAAATGTGCCCCTTGACTCCCTCCAGCTGCATCTGGGAGCTATGATGGAGGCTCCCTACTGCCTTTGTTTCCCTGGAGTACAGGGAGGCCCCTCTTTGACCCAGAGAGGCTCAGGGAAACCTGAGTGGGTTCACAACACCCTCTTTCCCCTTCTGCTTTCTCTGTAGAGATTTTGTTTGTGAGTCTTCTGAGTGGGGCCTGACAGTGCACACCATTGTTCTCTGTGCTCTGGCCCTGGGTCTCCTAAGCAGCCTGTTCTCAACTTGCCCTGGCTACCCTGACTCCTTGCTTGTCTGTCTTGGTTTGTCCTCGCTGGCCAGGCTGTTCTGGCTGCCCACTGCAGAGGCATCTGTTTAATAAACAGGTGCAGGTGAGGCACCGAGTGGGCTGGGCTGGGTGAGGACCGAGCTTTAAGCTGGGAACAAGGAGATACCTTGGGCCTTGGCACTTCTTGAGTGCTTGTCTTGGTTTTGGTTTTGTTGTGATTTTTGTTTTTGAGACAGGGTTTCTTTATGTAGTCCAGGCTGGTCTTTACTGCATCGTGCAGCCCACACTAGCTTCAGACTTAGGGTGATCCTCCTGCCTCAGCCTCCCATATGCTGGGATCACGGGTGTATACCACCACTCCCCCCAGTGGGTGCTTATCTGTTTGTGTCTTTTCTAGCCTACCACAGCCCAGGTGGGGAGGTTTCTGGGTCAGTGCTGGTGCTGAGGTTATTCGTGTGGGCTGTTTATTGGTAATGTAGCTTCTGGACTCACCAAAGGTGTAGTTCCCTCCAGGAGGAAGGGACATTCTCAGATTGCTTTCTGGGCAGATAAGAGAAGCCAGTGAGTGCCCCCAGCCCCAGACCCATCTGTTGCTGGGCATCACTGGCTGGAGGCAGGAGAGCAAAGGACCAGCTGGCCCCATTGGTGGGAGTCTCTTTAGGGAGAGAAGTGTGGTAGCCTAAAGTTCTGGATGTAGTAGCTCCAGGATGAAAAGAGGAAGGACAGTAGTGCCTTTGCCTGTGTCCCCAACCCTTGCCTTGTAGACCCTTTGTCTAGTAACGGGTGACCAGATCAGTAAGGAAATTAAGATGTTTTCACTCTTATGCCTGCTTCTAGCATGTAAGGAAGAGTCCGTTGGGGGGGTGTGTGTGTGTATGTGTGTGTATGTGTGTTCTCTGCTGTGCTGGGGAGGGAACCCAGGGCCTTACTCTCACTCATGCCAGGCAAGTACTGTACCCGGCCATTCCCTTGGAATCTTGTCTTCAATGTCATGAGGAAAGACAATGTGGATTTAGGCTCCCCTGTGGTTCCTCTTTGGGGGACTCTGCTCATGGGAGTGGTGCCCTGCCCTCACCCTTGGTCCTCCTGCTGCTCACCGCAGCCCCCTAAGCCTGGAGCTTTCCCTCGTTCTCCGTGGAGTGGGTAGTAACTGGCTCCAGAACCCATGTGACCGTGATCGGGTCTCATGGGCTGCCACCCATGCTGTCACATCTGTGCTGGTTTGCTCATATCTGCTCATCAACCTGCAGAAGGTCCTTGCCATGTGGCAGCCCTGGCCCCCACCGCAGAGCCAGTTCCTGTTGCCCCTGGCAGAGCTGACACGAGAAACCGGCACCACCTGTGAAGCTCGCTGTCTTTCCAGGAGCTGCCCTCCAGTGCAGGAGCCCATGGCCTGGACCTGCCAACCACGGTGGCACTTGGCACTGTCCTGAGCTGCATCCTGATGGGCTCAGGGGACCCTGTTTGCCATGTGTTCTGCCATTTGTGTGATGGCGTTCTTTAGAAAACAGAGAAAGTGGCAGGACTGGCAATCTGGCTTGTGAGGTTTTATATCTGTGGTTTTAGGCAGTTAACCTTGTGGCTGTAACCTCCCTAAATCTTCTCTATGTTAAGCTTGGTTCTGCTCGTCCTATTTCTTTTCCTCTCTTGATCCTTTAGGCTGTTGAGATCTGGTTTCATTGTTTTCATTCATTCAGTAAACAGCTGCTGTGGCCAGGGCCTGGAACAGTACTGGGACACGGGTAACCTGAACATGATCCATACCCGTAGGGCTCGCGGCCCAGTGGGAGACCAGACGCGCATCATGCCAGCCACACACACGGCCACAGACCACTGCTTCCTCTTACTGCCTGGCGCTGTTGCCGCCCATTGCACCGTTACCTCCGTCCTAAGCCCCCATTAACAGTCATAATAATGAACGCTTTTAGCTACTATTATTAAGCACATTCTATGTCTGTGTAAGCTCTAGCATATTAGCTGGATCTTCTCCCTGACCTAGAAGTGAATAGTATTATTATATTATGTCCCTTTTACAGATCAGAAAATAAAGCAAGATCAAGTCACTTCTCCAAGATGATACAAATAAGACATAGAGAAACTAAAATTGGAACCCAGAGGCCTGGCTCTAACACCACAATCTTAGCAAGCCCCAGCAGGGTGTATTGGTCAAAGGTTGACATGTGACATGATTCAACCCAGATGCTTCCGTTTCAGTGACTGGGGCAGCCCTGAGAAGCTAAGCAGGCCTTTGCAGACCTCAGCGTTCAAACCTCAGATTTACAGCCTTGATGCCAGAGCTGCAATTGGGAGGCAGGCTGTTATCTGAGGAAGGGTTTTTCCTTGACTCTTCATTGTAACCTCACATCTAATCAGTCTGCCCCGTTTCTGTGGGATTACTCAGCATCTCTTAATAGCAGTCAGGTTAGAGGAGAGTTCCTTAGCCACTTTCCCACATGCGTCCATCCTCCTGCTGTCCACTGCCACTGCACTTTCTCTTCCCTTTTGCTGCTGGGTGGACTGTGTAGGAACCCTTTGGGGCTGAAATCACAGTGGGTGTGGTCACCACGTCAGGCTCAGGGGCTCAGTGCCCAGCAGCCCAGCCTGGGTGTGGTCACGGGAACAATTACATGATGACCCCAGACAGGAAAATAAAAAAAGGAGCAGCTCAACAGGTGAAAGCAAATAATTTTGAATTACTTTTTTTAAACTCCCTTTCAAAAGAGGTTCTAAGATGCAATGTGGGTGGCAGGTGCTTTGAAAACACCAGGGGAGAAAGTATATTGGTTGATCTATGTTTAAGAACCCAACTTTGTATTTACTGCTAAAGGGGCTGGGGAAGAAGCCCACTGGCTCTGCCCAACCTGACAAAGGAGGAGCAGGGCATCGTGAGGTCAGCACCTTGTCCTTCCCTGGTGCTCTAGGATCCTCCTCCGTGCTGGCTTGAGTCTGTTTCCATGGACAAAGCTGCTCTAAAGGTCCTAGCTGGTCTGGAGCCCTGTGCTACAGCTGGGTCCTCAGGTCTACTGCTCTAAAGTATAGGACACTATAGGAGGGGAATCCTAACTTGGGGGACTCATCTGTGCTTCAAGGGACAGTGAACCCCTTGGAATTATGGATAAGACTTTATCTTTTCTTTAACACATCGGGGGCCTGCGGGTTAGCTCAGTTGTTTAAGTGCCTGCTCATGCAAACACAGTCAGGCATGAGGGACCAAGGTTTGAACCCCAACTCCACATGCCTTATCAGACCTGCCCTTAAGGCAGCCTTAGCCAGCCAAAAAAAAAAAAAAAAAAAACCTTCTCAACTTTTAGCGGGGTTGTGGGTTAGCTCAGTTATTTAAGCACCTGCCTGGGCAAACTCAGTCAGGCCTAGGGGACTGCGGTTCGATCCCCAGCTCCACTTGCCTCACCAGACTCACCCTTAGGCAGGCTGAGTCAGCACCTCCCCACCCCCCCCAAAAAAAAAAAAAAAAAAAAGCCTTTTTTTTTGGCAGAGCTGAAGATAGAACTCAGTCCCTTGCACTTGCCAGGCAAGCGCTTATTCTACTGAGCCATCTCCCCAGCCCTGAAAATCCTTTTTTTTTTTTTTTAACACATCAAAATCAGTGTTTTGAGAAGTGGTTTGGAAAATGTCCATAGAAGGGATTTGTTTGGTTTTTGAGACAGGGTTTCACTGTGTAGTTTAGGCTGGCCTTGAACTCACTGCTGTGTAGCCCAGGCTGGCTTGGGGTGAACTTGGGGCAATCCCAAGTGTTGGGATTTCATGTGTGCACTACCATGCTTGGCAACTTTGTCTGCTTTCCAGGGATCAGAAGCACAGGTTTTATTTTTGTTTTCTCTGAAGTTTAAGACCCCTACAGAAGTTAGGAGCCTTTGCATTATCGCTTCTGAGGCTAGGGCCACATAGACACCCGAGCCTGGTGTGGGGTCATTAGGCCCCTTGGGCAGTCCAGAGCAACCTCTGGCATTCCCAGGAGGGTGACTGTGAATGTACACTTCAAGGAGCTTTGGGAACCCCTGCCATTCCCAAACCCAAGTCAGTTTCTCTCTCTACACATGCAGAGAACATCACCAATGGCACAGTGGGGGGCACCGCAGAGCCCGAGCCCGAGGAGGTGACATGGATGAATGGCTGGCTCAGCTGCAAGGCCCAGGATGAGATCCTAAACCTGGCCTTCACCGTGGGCTCCTTCCTGCTCAGTGCCATCACCCTGCCCCTGGGCATCATCATGGACAAGTACGGTCCGAGGAAGCTCAGGCTGCTGGGCAGGTCAGTGTGGGGTCCTTGGGGATAGGGTGGACAGGTGGATCCCCAAGGGAATTCTGGACTGATGCACTGTGGAGCTCTCTGAATGCCCAGGCTGGGGCTGGGGAGATAGCTTGGTGGTCTAAATACCTGCCTGGCTAGTGCAAGGACCCAGGTTCAATCCCTGGTATCTCGTCATGTCGGCCCTGAAACCAGGCATGGTGGCACACACCTGTAATACCAGTGCTGGGGAGGTTGAGGCAGGAAGATCACTACAAGTCTGAGCTGTGTAGTAAGACCTTGTACCAAATAAATAATATTAATAAAAGAAAACTTGAATGCCCAGGCTGGGGGTGATGGTGTAGCTCAGGGATAGAACACATGCTTAGCATACAGTAGGCCTAGGTTCCATTGCCAACCCTGCAAAATAGGTAAATAAATTAAATAACATACATAAAATTTTTAGAATGAATGACATTTGGGGCTGGTGAGATGGCTCAGTGGTCTAAAGCATCTACTTAGAACAAGCTAAGCTAAGC